TCTTGGTGTTTGACGAAATGGGTCATCTTGTAATCTGTATACATGCATTCCTTTATTTTTATGGTTTAAATATGTGGACTTGTAACCCCAGGTTTGATAGTATTATAACTACTAAAATCACTAATATGATATGATAATATTTTAACCTTATGTGCAAAAACTAAATATCATACTTGCAAATGGATTGCATTCTAGCATGAAATTACACAAATTTACTAGTGAAATTTTGAAAAGCTACTTGGAATTTGTTAGAGAGCCAATTGTGAATCTCAAAATAATCATTTGTGAATTTTTATACTTGTAAATATATATATATATATATATACTTGGAAAATTAAGGGAAATCACTTGTAATTATTTGTGAAGTTAATTGTGAATTTCCTTTAATGAAAAACTTTTTTTCTTTAATGAATTCCCATTTCCTTTAATCGTTCTCACCTGGACATAGAAAGAACATGGAAAAAACAAACAGCTAATGAAAAATTATAGTAAACTACTGAATAAATCTAACATTAATATTGAAAATACATGACATATCTATTGAATTCATAATTGAGCATTCTCTTGATCCCACACGCACATGCAACACAGCGCGCAGACATCAGTTTTTTATTTCATGGAATGGCGAATAGATTAGGGGACACGACTTAAGCTCTTTGCCATTGTTGTCATGTTCAAGGACATTTTATCGATCAGTGCAATTGCTTCGCGGTGGAAGATCACACAGATAATTGTCAACAAAACAATATATACTACAAAACTTTGCAATTGGGTGCTGTTGGAATTTTTTTCCCATCAAATTAAATTGGACATGATCAGCAAATTTAAATTCGACTTTCTTGTTGGGATTTTCTTTACAATTCTATGACAACTGCTATATTGTCTCAACTAAAAAAAAAAAAAGCTCTTTTTCAAAGTCTTCCACTCTTTCCGGTGCTATTAAATGATATTTTTTCAACATATTCCAATTAAGTTATAGTTGTTTCGCTTATCTGTCCATAGAAAGAATGGCATGGTCAGCAGCATGAAGCTATATTTACAATAACCAGAACAACTTTCTTCCTACGTTTGAATTGGGAAAACATACAAATAGAAAAAGTAATTTTTTAAAAACAGTTTAACGTGACTATTGAAGAAAGACAATAAATTATACGCATCTTTCAAGTTCTATTCTCGTACAGCTTTATGTATATCCCTCACTCTTTCGGGTTTAGCTTCTGTCCCTCACTTACATGCAAACACAGTAGTACACAGACATTAGTATCTCTCCTTAATTCCTTTTTCCTTCCAAATCGCTCAGATGTTTTACCTCAAACTAAAAACTCTGTGTCCCACCCCGAAAACAGAGGATGACTGGCGTAGGAGCGAATCACTTCACACATTCCCGTAAGCTTCAAAATATAAATTCATTTTGTTTAAAAAAATAATCAGGTTATATAGAAATTCTAACACTTTTAATACTAATTGTCACATTAAAGCTTCAATGTTTTTGTAAAAATTTCGGCAGAACCTCCCGAAAATTTTACAACACAAAAATTTTCACAAATTATAATATCAGTTAGGAGCTTAGTTTCTTCCAGCCAGGAAACAATATATAAATACATAAAACAATATATCAGTCAGGAGCCTAGCTCCTTCCTAGCAACAATCTATGTGGAGCAACTAATCTTTCTTCTAAGTTAAAATACATAAAACTTAAATATTTACATCAAAAGGTAATAATGCCAAACAAAAATTTCACCCAATATAGATGCCCTTCAGAGTTGATGGCAGGATCAATGTTAACTAATGAATTTGAGATCAAAATAAATTTTTTTAGTGAATAGCATTCCCAAAACAAAATTTAAAAGAATTTAAATAATAAACTCAAATAATTGTGTAAAATAATTTAAAAAAATTGATAATTCAACATAATAACTTCAAAAATCTTTAAATCATAATCATAACTATAAAATGAGAGTGAATTGGAAATACTTTATTTTATCCGGGTTAAAGAAAACAAATTACCCGTATACAAATTAAAATAGTACACTTGTTAATTGAAACCATTGAAATTTTAAATAAGCTAGTTAATCAAAATTCAAATTTTTGAGGACTTAATAGAATAGGTAACAAACGTGAATACATAGTCCATGAGAATAAATAACCAAACATAGCCAAAGCTACAAAACAAATGTGGACACACAGTGCACGAGGGTAAAGCTAAGCAAACATGACTTATGCCACGAAAATAAATGTGAACACACAGTCCACAAGAGTAAGTAACTAAACGCAGCTCAAGGTCACAAACTCAAATGTGGGAAAAAGCCCACAAATAACAAATGTGAAAACAAAGCCTATGAGACAAACTAGCTAGTTATTAACCACAGTGCGCCACAGGCTAACGGAATTGTTGTTAGCCATAGTGTTTTATATAGAATCCTCACAGAAATCTCATTTCAAACATGCAAAAGAAATAATTATTTTTGAAGTAAAATTTTCATCCTCAATGTCAAACTCTCATGAATTGCTTCAAACATATAAAACTTGCCAAATTGATACATCATAGCAAATGTACAAACTTGCATTAATTGTGTAACCAAGAAATTTTGAAATTCAATAAACAAAGGTGCCTTCATCAATATTAAAAATATATTTCTTGAGGCAAAATAAATGCACATATCATAATTTAACCGTCCTTCATCATTGTTCCAAAATTTCTAAAATTAACATAATTCATAAAAATAAAATATTTCAATAAAAGATTATTAATAAATAATTAAATAAAATGTTATTCATTTACCTGAAATTTTTAGAGTTCAAATTTCTTCTCTCAACTTTAATTAAATTTCTCCTCTTTCAAATATCCTATAAATTATATTAAAATTTTATTCAACCCTCAAACAGTACAATAATTCCTTTTTAACATTTCCACCGATAATCAATTGTAATAAATTTTGAAACTTTAAAGTTTTATACTAAAAATATTTTTCATTAGCATTTTGTCAAGGCACTAAATATGTATCCTTTCCAATCCACTCATAACAACTCTAGCATTTAAATATTTTCTCAATAAGGTATCGATCTCCAAGAATTCCAATAATTATATATTATTAATTTTATAATCAAATGTCCTTTGCATCTTTCAAGTTAAATTTATATATTAATAACTTCTAAGTTAACTCTACTTTCCACAAGAATCGATAAAATTTCAAAATCAAATTCAAGTATCTTAACAAGCATCTTATAAACACTAATCTCCCATTATCATATCTAACCTCTTCTCTTCCAACTTCATTCTATCAAATTCTTCAATATCAATCATTCCAACTAAGTTAATTTATCCTAGAAATTATGACCATATGTAGATTAGTATCAAGCTTTAAGATGAATTTTCACCTCAACATTTGAATTTCTTATTCTCTAAAACATAAGGGCAGTATCAAAACACACCAAAATTCCATAGCCTCAACCATTAAAAATGCCCGCATAGAAATTAACAAGATGAATGGTGTAAAATTTCAGACATGAATCAACAACCATAAAGAAGAGAAAAAGAAGAAAGTTGATCGAAACTAAGGAAGAAAAACTCATGCACCAACAGCAGCATCTACAAGACAAAATTTTTTAGCATCAACTCCATCTCTTCATCTATTCACACATACAAAAACTTTCCAAGGAAAGGAGATAAGATCAAGTTTGTAACCTTAAAGGTCCCACATGCATGAGCAGAGGAAGAAGGAGGTAGCTTCATGTATGAACAATGGAAAGGAGGGATTGTCACCATGAATGAAGAAAAATGAACAAACCGGTGATGACAGGACGAACAAGAGGAAGAAAGAAATCTTAGCTCACCCATTCAATTACACACGCACAAAACAAGGAGAAAGGAAGAGAAGTTGAACATACTAGAGGTAGTGACAGAAGAGGAGGAACGACGGTGAAACAGAGGAAGAACTTGTAGATGTGGAGGAAGAAACAACAACATGCACACTGGTAACGGTGATGGCGACTCATACGAATAGCGCACGACTAGTGGTTGAGAAGGAGGATAGCAGAGATCAATGAGAGACAGGGCAAACATTTGGTGTGAAACTCTCAACTATCTCTCAGCTCTAGAAAAATCAAAGAAGACAAGAATAAAAGAGAGGAAAAAATCTGATTAGGATAAGGGTAATTTAGTAATTTCATAAAGAAATTGGCAAAAAAATAAAACTCCCTATGGCCCTATCTAGATTTGAACTTGGGCCTAATGGCTCAGCTCTAGAAAAATCAAAGAAGACAAGAATAAAAGAGAGGAAAAAATCTGATTGGGATAAGGGTAATTTAGTAATTTCATAAAGAAAATGGCAGAAAAATAAAACTCCCTATGGCCCTATCTAGATTTGAACTTGGGCCTAACGGCCGGGTTACATTTCCTCTTCCACTACACCAACATTATTTGTTCTAAAAATTAATATAGTTACTATTAAAAAACAAACTTATATTTTTTTCATTTTATTTAAAAATTTCTGGGTTATCACACTCTAGTTTACCTCTCTATAATCATCTTTTCTCTCCTCGCCTTCACCATTACCGATGATGCTGCTTTCATGTCCAAGCTCGCCAAAGAACTTTCTAATCCCTCTGACTGGTCCAGCAGGACTAGTTTGTAAACATGGGATGGTGTAAGATGTGACAGTTCCAATAGAGTCACCTCTATCAACCTTGCTTCCTGGACCCTTTTGGGTACTCTTCCTTATGATCTCAACTCTCTCTCTCAGCTAAGCTCCTTCTCTCTTCAAAACAATGCTCTTTTTGGTCCTTTGCCGTCTTTGGCAAATCTCTCTTTGCTTCAAATTGTGTTTCTTGACTCCAACAATTTCACTTCCATCCTTGAAAGCAAGGGGTTGCTTCCAAGGGGTCATCAGTTTACAAACCCTTAGCTTAAGCAACAATGCCAACCTTGCACCCTGGTCATTTCCGACCAATTTGACTCAGTCTTTGAATTTGGTTACCCTTGATCTCGGAACATGTAACTCATGGGTTCTTTGCCGGATACTTTTTATTCCCTACCGAGCTTGCTGAAAGTCCGTCTTTCTTACAATAACCTCACTGGGGGCTTGCCTGCCTCATTTAATGGGTCTAGAATCACAAACTTATGGCTTAACAATCAAGTCAATGGACTATCTGATACAATCGACGTATTGTCAGCGATGCCTCAATTATCTCAGGTTTGGCTTCAGAAAAACCAGTTCACAGGTCCCATTCCCGACATGTTCAATAGCAAAAATTTGTTTGACTTGCAACTTGGCGACAATCAGTTAACCAGTTTAGTCCCAACTTCTTTGATGACTCTCTCAAGCTTGGAGAATATTTCTTTGGACAATAATAAGCTACAGGGTCCTATGCCTCAATTCAATAGAGGAGGTGTGCTGGTTACTCTTGAGGGGAACAGCTTCTGCAAAAGTGGTCTGGGATCTTGCGATGATTGTGTTACAACACTGCTTGAGATTGCTGTAGCATTTTGGTATCTAGTTAAATTGGCAGATTCATGGGATGGTAATGGCTCTTGCAGTGATTGGAGTTTTATTGTGTGTACAGATGGAAAGATTACAACGGTGAATATGGCGAGGCAGGTTTTTGGGAGAACAATTTCACCTGCATTTACCAATTTAACGGATTTAAGAAACTTGTATTTGAATGGTAATAATTTGACAGGCACATTACCAAAGAGCTTGAGAACATTGCCTCACCTTGAGATTCTTGATGTATCTAACAATAATCTTTCTGGAGAGGTTCCTAAATCTTCATCAAATGTAATGTTGACAACTATTGGTAATCTTTATCTTGGAAAAGCTTTTGATTATGGGGGTGGAAGAAATGCAAGTAGTCCTGCCACTGGTTTTGACGATAATCCACCAGTTGGAAGTCCGTCTAAAAAGAAAAATAGTACTTCCTTATCATCTGGTTGGATTGCAGGCGTAGTCATTATTGCCTTGTTTTCGGTGGGGGGGTGATATTGTTTATTTCTTTAAGTGTTGTGCTAGAATAATTCCATGTGACTTAGTTGGCCAGAGTAGTAGCAACCAATGTGACCTTCATGATTTTGAGGGTGTAATGCCACAATTTCAATTCAAGTTCTTCGTCAAGTAACCAACAATTTCAATGAAGATAACGTTTTATGAAGGGGAAGATTTGGCATTGTTTACAAAGGAGAATTTCATGATGGAACAAAAATTGCAGTGAAGAGGATGGAATCTGTTGCAACAGAAAGCAAAGGATTGAAGGAGTTCCAAGCAGAGATTTCAGTGCTGAGTAAAGTCAGGCACAGGCACGTGGTTTCTCTCTTAGGATATTGCATTAATGGAAATGAAAGGCTTTTAGTTTATGAGCATATGCCTCAAGGAACACTAACACAACATCTTTTTGACTGGCGTCAGAAAGGCTTTGCCCCTCTAACTTGGAAGCAAAGGTTAGTTATAGCTTTGGATGTGGCACGTAGAGTGGAGTATTTACACAGCTTAGCTTACCAAAGCTTCATTCACAGAGATTTGAAGCCTTCCAGCATTCTTCTAGGTGATGACATGAGATTTTGGGTTGGTTAAAATAGCACCTCATGAAAAGCATTCTATTGAGACCCAAGTGGCTAGGACTTTTGGGTATCTTGCTCCTGAATATGGAGGTAGGGAATTTCAACTTTCATCTAATTAATTTTTGAAGTTTTTATGTATTCCCTATTTTGTTTGTAACATTGGTGCACTTTTAATTAACTTCATGATTTATTTTTAAAATTAAAGGAAAAAAATCTTAAACTAATTTCAATTAATATTTTATATAAATATACATTAAGAGGCCAAAAAACAAGTTCACAAAGAATGATATATACACTATATAGAGAGGGGGGATGACCAACTCATTATCAGAAATATGACCTTATTTCACGTTAAATGGGTACATCAAGAAAAGACAACTACCCTTTCTTGATGGCACGTAATTGAGTAAATAAATGGGAGAATGACAATTAAGGACCTGCTAAGAATATTAATCTCAATTACGGACCGTAAAATTTTAAAATCCCAGTTAAGGACCATAGTCCTTAATTGTGATTAAAAAAATGTAATTTGTGAGGTGGGATTCATTATTGCCACTTGGAAATTCACTAACCCAACTTGAGAAAATTTGTAACGTATATTGTGAAAATATGAAACCCCACTTGAAAATTGAATGTTTAACAAAAAGCGCCACTTGAGAATTCACTAACTCGACTTGAAAAAATTTCTAACGTATATTGTGAAAACATGAAACTTCACTTGGGAATTGATTGTTTAATAAAAAACACCAATTTAGATAAGTCACTTTTTATTAATGATTCTCAAGTAGGGTTTCATTTTTTCACAATATATGTTAGAAATTTTTTCAAGTCTAGTTAGTGAATTCTCAAGTGGTGGTTTTTGTTAAACATTTAATTTCCAAGTAGGGTTTCATGTTTTCACAATATACCTTAGTAATTTTTTCAAGTTGGGTTAGTAAATTCCCAAGTCGTGTTAGTGAATCCCACCTCACAAATTACATTTTTTTATCACAATTAAGGACCATGGTCCTTAACTTTGATTTCAAAATTTCACGGTTCGTAATTGGGATGAATGTTCTTAGCAGGTCCTTAATTGTCATTCTCCCTAAATAAATTATAGTCAATGAAATAAAAAGGGAAAATGAGGCCAATAACTATGGTAAGTCGTTGCTAGCTGTTGTTCTTTGACTTTTGCTGTATGGTTTATATAACAGTTGTTAATTGAATATAATTACTAGGATATTGTTCGTCAAGAACAACAAATTACTAGGAATGCCAGAGATGTTGAGTTTCAATTAATAATGAAGGGTTCCCAAGCTCCATTATTATAGTTTACTCATATGTAAAAGATACGCAAGACTTAATAGAATAAGTGTTTGATTATTATTAAAAACGTTATGAAACATAAACAGTTACAAGTCTGAATTAAAGATAAAAACTAATTGATAAACCTAAGAATTATGGGTGCAAAATGCAAGTCTTTTGAGTGTTGTTCATGTGTTCTTCTGTGATTTGCTGCTCTACTTATAATGATAGAGTGATGGTAGTTTCTTCCTTAAAATCTGGAACGTTCTTATGGATAATCAGGGATCCTGCAAAACTCATGGCATGGTCTTTAATCACTGTCTTTCATTTTTAATAACTAGCCCGTCTCGTCGAGATATTTGGGCACAATGATGCTGTTCCAATAAGATTTGTGATTGTTTGAGATCATGTCTCAATTGTCCACAGAGTGGGTTTGCAACTAGCAGGATTTCGACATGTTCATTTGGCTAGGGCTTTCCATTGAACTTGGGGTTGGCTCTTTTGTTTAGATTGTTAATCTAGCTTGACTCTTCAGTCACTTGGCCCATACGGCTTTATGGCCTATTCAAACACTTTGATAAGTGACAATTCATATTTAGCCCAAGCAGGTATTTAACAAACCCATCATGATCACTTCTTTGGTTTCATAATATATTTTATTGTTACGCATGAATGTGACAGATATATGACAATATATATATATATATATATATATTCAAGTTTTACCTTGGTTATCCAAGGCTTGACACAATCTTTTTCCTTTATTTGCTTGGAATCGGCTATGAAAATATAGACAGAGTTATCCAAATGATACCAAGTAAAAAGGCATATTTAAAAAGACAAAATACTCAAGTTCGAAACACCTTTTCCTACCATTAATGAATTGCATTTTGCGTTTTTGGTTTCAGCTACAGGAAGTAACAACTAAAGCGGATGTCTATTCATTTGGGGTTGTGTTGATGGAATTGATGACTGCTAAAAGGGCAGTAGATGATAGCATCTCAGATGAAGGCTCTCACTTGTTTTCATGGTTTCGTAAGGTTCTAATTCGCAAAGACAACTTCCCAAATGTTATTGATCAAATGTTAGACATAGAAGAAGAGACAACATTGGAGAGCACATGTAAAGTGGCTGAGTCTTGCAGGGAATTGCACGGCTCACAAGCCACACCAAAGGCCAGACATGAGCCATACAGTCAATGAGTTGGCTCCTCTTATAGAGCAGCGGAAATCCGTGAACCACAGAGAAGATGATGAAGGAGGCTTTGGAAGTGACATTCTCACGAGGGAAAAATTAATATTCTGGACTCTATGGTTTCTCCAAATTAATTTTGTCATCAATCTTTGTATCTTCAGTTATTTTAATCAACTTCTTGTACATTTTGCTTCATGTGAAAAAGACTCCCTTGAAGCAAGAGCCATAAGCCTGTTTTAATTAGTTTGATGTTTTAAATTTAACAACGTATAAGTTTATGAATATCGGCATATCAATTCCAATATTTGATTTGTTTTTCTCAAATCAAAGATTAAAACATCTCCATTAAGGATAATAATTAAATTTTGAATGATGAAGATTCAAACATTATTTTTGAATTATATGAATTGTTATATGACTTCATGACTTTTTATATTGGTTTGTTATATAACATGCATGCATGTTGCAGTTTTATTTTATATTTCAATAATTTATATATGTGATAATCTTGTAACTAAACATTTCAAAAGTGTGTGAGAGGGGAGAAAGAGAGATTGACTGGCTTCTTAGCTATATAATTAAGAAGATGATGCAGTTTAGATGGGCAGCTTCGCTCACTAGGAATACAAAGAACTTGATCAGATGTTTTGCGTATGCATGCAGGAAGGATTCAACACTAAGATGAGTGACCAAAGCAAACTAATCGGTTTGACAATGTTTGAGACCTATTCAATTTTTCATTCAATTAGTTAGGTATAGTTTTTGAGCAGCAATTTGATTATGTTTGATTTGATTTAGAATTGGGTTAAGTTTGAATTTATTTGAAATATTTTTTTTCATAATCAATATGTGTGTGAGATATATATGTGTGTACTTGTGCATATTCACCAATATTTTTTCAACTATTAATTGTTATTTTCATTGAAAAAATCTCGAGGACAAAAGATTTTTTTAAAACTATTAATTATCATGTTTAACTATTAAGAATCAACATGTTATCTTCAAAAATTATTGTAAAATTAAAAATTATCATAAAATAATTATAGATAATATTTAACTAATTGTAACATATTATTTAGTAGTGATTTACAAATAACTAAATTTTGGGAAAGAAAAAAACTTCAAAAAATTTAAAAAAATATATAAGGCTTAGTTTAATTTGATTCAAGTCTCAAGTTTTACTAGTCTTTTGAAACAAATCAAACCAATCAATTTTATCAAAAAACAAAAAAAAAGCCAAATCTTACTCCCTCCATTCAAAAATGTAAAGCATTTTTAACTAAATTTCACCCCCCAATAAAGTAGTTACCTACTTTTAAACTAACCTTATCTTTTCATATTTATCCATATTAAATACCTTACAATAAATATAAAATTATTTATCAATAGGGGCACTTTTAGAAAAAAGGCAATGATTATACCTTGAAAGAGTAAAACTGCCTTATATTTTTTAATATTCAACTCTTTAAAAAATAATTTACATTTTTAAATGGAAGAAGTATTTATTATTGACTTTAATCAATTCACATCGATTTAATTTAGTGTAATCACTTTGGATCACTTTTGGATACCCTTAGGCGTTAGCTAGGGAGGATTAATGTGAAAGGAAGACAATTGTTGTCACAACGTGGAGAAGTTTCGCATAAAAGTTTATGGGACAGTTGGGACCAATGCAACTTTTCAAAGTTTTGTCATATTGTATTTAAAGAAAAAAAAAAAAACAAAGCTTTGTCGTATTATTGCTATTAGAAGTTACAACGACGATCACGAGTACAAAAATTAGCTTTTACATGTGGTCTTTTACACCAGTTTAAAGGTAATTTGTGTAAAAAGTTTGACATATGATAATTTTATAATTATGTAGTATGATTAATATATTCTTTTCAGGGAATATTAATCTTTGAATCCTTTAATTTTAATTTACTTATAACTTAGCCCCTCAATTATAACTCACTGCGACTCAATCCTTTAACTTTGAATTCATCTATCATCTGGTTCCTCAACTTTTGGTAGTTCTTTTTTATTATGTTAACTTAGATCCCACATCAAAAAGCAAGAAGAGGATATTTTAGAGCATGATATGAGCATTTATTTTATCTCTCTTATTTGATAAAGATAATTTTTTAAAAAAAATTGAAAAATGAGGACTAAGTTATAAGATAGTCAACAGTTGAATGATTGAGTTGCAGCGAGTCATAGTTAAAAGACTGAGTAAGATATGAGTATTTATTTTATTCCTAAACTATAATTTGTTATGAGTTTGTCCTTCAACTATGTAGAAAAAAAGAAATTAAATTACTTTTAACATTAGACAAACATATAACCAACGTAGAAAGGTAATTCAGATTTTAAAAATTAAAAAATTAAAGTGTGTTAAAGGGGTCTTTGCTTCGCAACTATTCGGAGTGCTAAGTCAATATTTAAAAATGATGTGATGTACTATGAACATTAAGTTTACAATAACATCCGTCATTTAAGTGGTTGTAGGTCGCATACCTTTAGATTGGTGGCACGTATAGTTGGTTTTCTAGTGTCCGCCATCCGAATTACGAACATCATCAACCCATCATGATTTCTCCCACATTAAGACTTGTTCTCCCATGCTTGTGAAATCCAAATGATGGCTTCCAATACTCTGATTTTAACCCATGAACAAGAAGCGATATATATCTCGCTCTTTGAGTTCTCTCCCTAATCATCCCTTTCATCTTCGTCTACTTTTTCCCTTTTCTTCACTGAGTGTCCTCTATCTGTTAAGCATTTCTACCATCTTTCATCTTCACAGGGCCCAAATTCATTGTCTTTGTGGAAATTTTGTCTGCTTTCCAGCCTCATCTTTTGCTTTTATATATGATTTTTTTTCCTCGAAATGTATCATTGTCACCAGCATATATCATAAGTTTGTATGGAAGGAAGCCAGAGAATCGGGGCACGAAAGCTACGTACTCTTCTGGGTTAAGCCACCAGTTCATGAGGAGGAGGTGCTGCTGGGTTTTGATTTCCTTAGCAGGGATCTATGATTCATCTGTGTTCGAATTTAGCTCGATCGTGAACGCAAGGAGTATCTCCGGATGTGTGCCTATGGTTATATTTTGCATAATTAAAAAGGAGATGAAGCTCAATCACCTTCCAAGTATTTTGGAAAGTGACATTGCGGCTTCAAGGTCAGGTAACTGTCATTTGATTAACAAGCCCAATTATGAAGCTGGCCCAGTGGCTTAGGGAATCAGTGCAATAACCCAGAAACTTTAGCCAAATAAAATCTATGGTTAGTTAATTCGATTGTATTTTTATTATTCTTGGAACAAATATATCAAGAGAGAATGGTTGTCTAGTGGAATTATGCAAGCTAGTAGAGATGAAAAATGGGTGGCCTCAGCCCTTAAGGGTTCAAGGCTTTTAGTTTGATTTTCTTGAAAAATGATCAGTTTTTTTAAAGATTCAAGCCTAGGCTTGTTAGGCTATTTTATTTTTAAAAAATAAATAGAATAAATAAATACAAATTTAGGTATAGAATCTTGATCAAGTTTTAAAACGAAGATAAAAATTTTCATTTCAAATCAACCTTATCAAATTCGTTAAATACAAAAACTTGTATATCATAGAGTACAAACCAAAAAAATAAACCTTCCAAAGTAATCATGTTAAAGAAATTAGTAAAGAGTCCATCAATATCATGTTAAAATAAATGGGAAAAAAAAAACAAAATCAATCATTTATTTGGCCTACAACTTCGTCTACTGCTAGTGACCATGGAAACACCAAAACCTTCCTCCTCCAACTCCGTTGACCAACAGTGTCACTTATTTGCATTGGATTTCCTCTCCTCTATTTTGTTGTCTCTTTCTTTTGTTTTTTTTTCCCCTTTCTTCCCTCCTCTGTTGTTATTGATGATTAAGATGAGAAGCCTTACATTTTTATTATAATGACCTCCAACTAGAGTGATTCCAAATTTTGAAAAGATTCAACGAATAGATTGAAATTCATGTATGTCGCAATTTTAGCAAATGTTGCTATCACGACAGCATTAAATGGCTGTCATAATAGCACCTCTGGACAAACTTTCAGAATGTACCATTTTTTCATCCAATATTTGATCGAGGTGATTCTAAAGTGCATATGAATATTATAAAAGTTTTACTTGTGACCCAAATTTTAAGAAAATCTAACGGTCAGATTGAAATTTAAACACTCAGATGCAAAAGTGCAGTTTTTTGGTAAAAACTATTTTCAAAATTGTCCAAATCTCATTCTAAGGGTCACAAACCTGTAGAAACACTTTGGACACTTCTAATAGGACTAGGAGCACCTGATAGAACATTTAAATGATGAAAAACCCATTATATCAAATTTTGACCACTCGGGTGCCATTTCTCAAAATGAAACGTAAGCCCTAAAATGCACAAATCACAAAAGAGTGTTCAAAAATCAAACCAAACACCATATACTCATATAAATATATGTGCTAAACATTTTTATTTAGCTTAGAAATCCTTGTGGGGCTCACGCACCCACTCTCTCTATTCAAGGAGTATATTTGCCCATAGCACATAATTCGCGATGCAACTACTTTGCATTTGCTTGTAAAATCATATATTTATATACATATCAAAATAAACATTTGCTTGTAATGAAAACTTGATCTACCAAATGAATCCATCAAAACCACACACTATAACCAAGTTTCCTAATCACAAGTCTTCAAGTAGACAAAAATTCATACAAAGGCATACAATCCACACACACACATACAAACACATCCTATTATGTCACGCCTCGAAAATAGAGGGTGATCGGCACGGGTTCAAATTACATCACGTATTTCCATAAGCCTTAAAAATGAAAATTCATTCTATTTTTTAAAAAGAAATAATCAGATCATATAGAAATTCTAACACTTTTAATATTAATTGTCATCCAAGACTTTAACGTCTCTGTAGAAATTTCGACAGAACCTCTCCTTGTAAATAGGATCTCCTGAAAATTTTACAACAAAACTTTTCACAAA